ATTTTACAGAAAAATAGAAGCTGCAACATATTATTAATGAATTTGGATTTCAAATCTCTTAGACAAAAAATTCTTGGTGTTTAGGTTGCTAAGCTTCTGATACCTATAACTCCGGATTTCCTATTCACGGTATGCTCTGTACATCAGATGACAGACCCTCACACACAGTCAGGTGAGGATCAACGTACCAGGCTGCCTTTCTGCAAAAAGAAAGATGCACAAAAAATTTCTGACCAAAAGAGTTAACTGACTTGCCAAAACATAACATGAAGCTCTAAGCTAGTACAACAAAGAAATAGTATCTAGTAAATAAAGAACTCCTGCCAATGAGAAAAAAGCTCTAAGTCAGTGCTCTTTCGCAGCTCACAAAGGCAGCTAATACCCCCCCCATTCCTATTTCCAAGTATGACTGATCCACATCTGGACAATCTGATCATCCATAAATGCCAACTGGCTTCCTCTTGCTATCTAGACTATCCGTATATGTATGTATATACACGCATGCATACACACATATACTGAAGAATATATATATTTACATACATATTTATATACATATAAATAAGAAGCGTTGCTGGGTAATGGGACTGTAGACAATAATTTTGCTTCCTTTTACATTTTTGTAATTTCCAATTTCTACCATTAGCATATGTTATTTTAGTGGTGGAAGAAATAAAGCTCTTTTAAAGTTAAAAAATAATAATAAATAAGAATAAAGCAAGTCACAGAAGAATACTTACACTATGATTCTATTTACATAAAGTTGCAAAGGTAAAAAACATATTGTTTAGGATATGCACTTGTTTGGTAAAACCATAAAGAAAAGCAAAAGAATGATTCACACAAAATTCAAGAAAGTGGTCACCTCTGAGGGAGAGAGGAGATTCAATTAAGCAGGAAATCAAACAGGCTTTAAAGGTACTAGAAATCTCCTTTTTGTTAAGCTAAGTAGCAAAAACTTGTCTTCAATTTGTTATCATTCTTTAAATTGAAGATTTGTTACATGCATTTTTATACATATGGCTTATGTCGCAATTTAAAAAGAAGATATAAACAGGGTTGAGGAATCAGAACTTGGTGGCTGTAACTCAGACTTTCACTTATTGACTGTGTAACCTTAAGCAAGTCATTTAACCTCTCAGAGCAGTGTTTCTTCTTATTTTATAGATGAGGAAGCTAAGAGCTAACATATGTTTAGTACTTTACTGTTTAAAGTTCCTAGACTACAGCATAAACATGCAAATATGCAAATAAACTGCCAGATGATAATACAAAGTAATACCTTCTTAATAAATAATAGAACATCATAACACTAACAACTCAATGGTAGGACACACAAGGCTATTCACATTCTACTAGTCTCTTTCTATCTAAAAATAATGGCAACAACTAATATTTTTTAATGTATACTATGTAACACACTGTGTTAAATGCTTTCCATGGATTATTTTGTTTAATCCTCAAAACAACCATATGAGATTAGTTCTTTTATGCCCACTTTACAGATGAGACCATTGTGCCATGGTCACACAGCTAGGAGTAAATGGTGGACAGACTTCAGAACCCACACTCTTCACCACATTAGTTCTGCCTCACTTCTCTCACTATATTTAAATCGTCTATCCCTCCCACGACACTGAAAGCTCCTTGACAACTGTTTTTTGTTCATTTTCATTTCCTCTGGCACTTAGCATGCAATAAGTAAATAAATATTGAACAATTATTCCCTATATGTACAGTGTTTTCAGGACATAAAGTTATTTCAGGACATGAACTGATTTGTTCCCCCTGACAGCCTTGTAAAGTATGAAAGTTTTTTTTGTGTTTTTCCCATTTTTAACCATATTCAAGTGTACAATTCAGTGGAAGTAGGCAGATTCACAACGTTCTGCAATCATTACCACTAAGTGTGAAAGGTTTTTAATGACTTTCTTGAACTCACTCAGCTATCAAGTGGTAGGATGGGGATTTGAACCCAGGACTCTTGACCCCTAAATTCACAGGCTATTCATTCTATCAAGGTGCCTGTCTACCAATACCTCCATCTGCTCTCCCCTTCTCATCAGAACATTGGGAGAATCAAATGAGGTAAAGATAGTAAAAACACTTTATATACATTTCTGCTGCACAGGTGACCACAGCTGTGAGGAGAGGAAAAAAATCCACCAAGACATTTCTCCCAGGCGATTACTTTTCATTTTGAGCTTTCAAAAGCTAGGGCTTTAATATAAATATCCCACCTCTAGATCAAGCCTGCAGATCCACAAAAGAAATGTCTGGACACCAGAGTAAAGTTATGAGGAGAATTGCTTGCATTAGTTAGATTACACTCTCATCAAATTACAGGTAACTGCTCAAACCTGATTTTTATTGTAATACAGAAAGCTTCCTCATAACAAAACACTTTCAATTCCAAGGATAAGTCCAACCTTCCATCATTCTGCCCATTTGGGAACTATAAAAAAAAAAAATTCTAAATATTGGGTATTTTTATGTGCTCAACTGTGAAAGCCAAGGAAAGTGGTTTGTTTATGAGCTCAACTCTGAAGCTTGAACAAAAATAGAATTATTTTGATCCTATTGGTGCCAATGTTATCCTCTTTATATCCCTCCCCAATTTTTCTCAGTCTGAGCTCTAATCAACAGCCACTTCATGTTTAACATATCATAGTTAATCTAATTGAGTCTCGAAAACTGTTTCCCTACAGATGTTTCCTCCGTTCACACCCCTCTCTACCTTCCAGCATCACCATTCTGCCATGAGAATGAGCATATCAATAAGCTTTAAATAAAATTTCTGATGAATAGATGGAGATATTGTTTCTGTAGTTAATGTGATGTGCCTACATCAACATCATCCCCTAAAAAAATAAAATAAAAATGATTCTATATGCTTTATTTATCCACATCTGACAGAATTCTGACCACCTGAATTATTTTCAAAGAAAATTCAATCTACAGAAATACAGTCCAATTACTTTAAATCTTATCAAAGAGAATCAAATGAAAAACTCCATCAATACCAAACCATCTCACCAATGAATATTTATGACATTTCCATATTTCCTGTTTTCTCTCTGTTTACATAAAGCGATGGTGCCAAGATTCATCTCAGGATTATTAGCCTGCAATACAATGATGGGCCTAATTGCCTTGCAAACCAGGACACCAATAAATGGAGTCTTTAAGCGATCAATTTTAAGAGGAGGAAAAAAAAAGCCCTAAGCTCTTTCTGCACACATGCACGTTGCCTGACTAGGAAATAAATTCAGCCTCATATTTTTCAGTCTCATTCATCGGTTCTCAAGCAAGGCATGCTCCCTTAACTACCTCAAGCTCATCAAATCTATTTAACTCCAAATTCCAGAACTAATTTTTAAATGCACCAGCAAGAGGGCAGAAAGGAGAAGCCAGAGACATCACAGAGAAAGATATCTATCACATTCCAGCTTCATCTTCCCCACCTTTAGTTTGGGAGTGGGTTTTTTCCCCCAACTTTCTTTTTATGATATATGAATGAAAGAAGACACCCTCCCCTCCTTAATTCTACCTTAACTGCAGCCACTCTGAACTTTACCCTTTACCCTTTGATTTACTTGCGAATATGATACTAATATAAATGAAACAAACAAAAAGATTAACAGCCAAAGACGTCCTCTAGGAATCTTCAACATACCTTCTCTCCCCTGCAGTCCCCTCTGTTACCGCCCCTCCCCCAGCCACAGCCTCCAGAGCTGTCCATTTAAGTCCAACCTCCAACCCTCTTGTATCTCATGGAGGCCATCCCAATCCACCCTCTCCAGAATCATCCAATCCACCTCTTCCCAGCACTGCTCACTGTCCCTCTCCATCTTCTCTGCCCCATCCATACCAACAACTCCATGTCTCCCACCCCTTAAATAGCCTCTCTGCCACTTCACCATTAGCAACCACCTCTCCAGTCCCACCAGTTCATCTCAGACATTCCTTCTCCAAAACTCCCGCTGCCACCTTAGCCAAGGAACATTTGCTTCAAGATCCCATCCCCCAACCTTTCTCACCACCTGCCACTAGTCTTTCAGTGAGTCCAGCGCAGTGGCATCTTCTGTGCCCTCTGCCTTGACCCTGCATCCAGGGAGTGCCATGCCCCTTCCCATGGTTCTACGATCACCCTAAATCCCATCTCACTGAGCCCTCCCCCCCCAGTTTCAATCCTTGTCTGCCCATTTGGGGCCTAACTTCTAATTTACCCCCCTCCTGCCAGCTCACCATCACGCTCCCCTCATTGAAAGTCCCACCCCTGCCAGCTCCTGTTCCAACCTCCATAAGCACTCCCTAGGAAAACCCCAAATTCTGCCTCCTTTGCTCTCCTAACCCACGCTATTCCATAAGTCCCCACAAATTCCACCACCACCAAATGGCAAACGCCCACTTCAAGCTCAGGTCTCAACCCATGCCAAGCCCTTTACCCCCAGCTCCTACCACCTCTATTAGCCCGCCCCAGGTCCACCCCAAATTCCACCCGATTGAATTAACACCCTCCAGGGTCCTAACCAACCCCGCAAGCCCACTCTCTATTGAAATCATCCCTCTACCGCGCGTCCGGCTCGGATCCCAAGCTGTCAACTGCTCCAGGCCAACCCCAAATCCACCACCCTCATTCAGTCCCCTCCCCCATTAAAAGCCATCCCACTCCAGTCTCATCATCCATCTCACACAAAACCATCCCAAATTCCACCCCGACCCCCCCAACCCCACGCTCCTGTCCCAGGCCCGGTCATTCCCCATTAAAAGTCCCCTTCCCCTGTCCCCCCCCAAACCTGCTTGGGTCCCACCCTCACCCCACCCCCAGCCCGCGCCTGGACAAGTATCCCCTGCCAGCGCGCCGTTCCACCGCGACCTCAACCCCCTTCCGCCAACCCGCGTGGGGGCTCTGCAGCCCCCACTCTCATTCTCCCCAGCACCACCCGCCCCGGCTCAAAGAGAGCGGACGGGGGGGGGCGGGGAGGGGGTCTCCTCACCGACGAGCCGCTGCAGGCGAAAACGGCGGCGGCGGCGGCTGAGGCGGCGATGCCCTTGTCTTCTCTGGAGGCTACTGAGGCGACGCTCTCGCTCCCTCGCCCGTGTCCAGTAAGGTGGCGGATGGCGCGCAGGGACCGGGAGCCTCCTCCTTCTCAGCGACTCGGCTCTGAATCCTCTGCAGTAGCCGCCGAGGAGCCCGACGGGTGGGGGAGGGGGCGCTCGGCTGCGGGTGAGGGAGGAGGAGACGGAGGGAGGGGGCGGGGGACCGCTGAGAAGGGCGGGGAAGGAGGAGCCGGCGCGGCGCCACGACACGTCCCACAGCCTCAGCACCCCGGGACCACAACTCCCGGCATGCCCTGCTCCTGCCCGCGCGCGGCCTGCGCCTCTAGCCGCGCGCCCAGTGCGCAGGGGCCGCGCCCTTCCTGGTCACGGACAATGGAAGAAAGCCAACCATCCGCAGGCTGCTTTTGTAGACTCAAAGACCACCTGTGAGGGAAGTTAGGTCGCCCCGCGGCCCCATCCCCAAGTGGTGATGTTCGCAGCGTCTCCAACCTTTACACGCGCGCGAGCGCACGCACACCCACACGCACACCCACACAGTCGCAGCCCTCTGGACTACGTTTCCCAGCATGCCCCATAGCCTCTCACCCTCCTTCCGGCCCTTCTTAGACCTGGTACTACAGTTCCCAGGGAGTGCGGTCTCCGCGAAATGCTGGGAGATGAAGTTCTCAGTTCTTCCTCCATGTTAAGAAAAAGAAATGAAAGAGAGGAAAAAAGGAAGGAATATGCCAACCCACTGAGGACAGGCCTAAATGGACTAGATCACCTGTGAGTCTGTACTGTCTTCGCCATTCCCGTTGCGACTGTCTCACACCAGAACTAATGCAGCAGCTTCCTCCTGGTCTCCCTGCAAATCTGAGGACGATTTGGCAATTTGAATCCAAATGTAAAAAGGGCATACTTCTTGACCCAGTTCCGTTATTTTTAAGAATTTACCTTAAAAAGATAAACAATTTGGAAAAGATGAATGCACAAGGTTGTTATATGAGGTTGTTAAGGTTGTTATATGAGGTTGTTGTTATGGGGGGAAAACATAAATCTTCATCAATAGGGGGCTGGTTAAATTACATATTCAAACAATGCAATACTAAGCAGCCGTTTAAAATAATGATAGAGATCTAGTTATTGACAGGAAAAGCTATTCACAATTTATTCTCGAGGGGAAAAATTGATTACAGAACAGCACGTTGAGAACGGTCCAATTTATGTGAAGTTTGAGACAATATTCTATAAACATAAAGAGATTTGAGGAAAGAGCTTCCTCAAAATATTCTCTGTGATTATGTTGGAGTAAAGGGTGTCAGATTTCAAGTAATTTTTATTTTCATATTGCCTGAATTGTTTAAAGGAAGCACATAATTTTTTAAGCTATAAGACTACTTTCAAAAAATATAATTTCCAGGGGCCGACCCTGTGGCGTAGTGGTTGAGCTCGTGCGTTCAGCTTCCGCAGCCAGGGGTTCGCCAGTGAGGCTCCTGGGCGTGGACCTGCTCACCGCTCACCAAGCCATGCAGAGGTGGCGTCCCATATAGAAGAGCCACAGCTCTACAACTATGAAACACAACTATGTACTGGGGCTACAGGGAGAAAAAAGAAAAAAAAAATAAAAAGAGGAAGATTGGCAGCAGATGTTAGTGCTTCCTCAAAAAAATATATATATATATTATATATATATATATATAAAATATATATATATAAAATATCCAAATCCAACAACCTCTCTGCTGCCTAAAAGCTCTCTGTGGCTTCCTGTTGCCCTTGGTGATGCTCCAGGACTAAGCCTGTCTGATTTTTCTGTGAGCTCAACAGTTCCCCTATTAAAACAAATAATGATGGTCACTTACAATTCATGAAAGAACATTAAGTTAGTAGGGAAGATTTTCTCAATTTTCGTGGTCTCTTCTCAAATTTTTCCTTGTTCTGATCTTTCCACACCTGATTCCTCCTTTTCTCCTACTCATTCTTGAAACTTAAACCAAAGTCCTACCTTCCCTAGAACATATTTTAAGCACACTGATTTTCCTTATATCTAAATTCTTAGAGCAATGGTTTCTAATCTGTGGGCCAGAGATCACTTTGGGGAAGGGGAGTGAACAGGAAGGAACAAAGTTATTGTGAAAGGTCTACAAAGGTCTGCTTAAACAAAGCATTGTCTATAGACTGAATAAATAAGTCTTACGCTTAAAAAATTTTTTTCCTTCTTTTGTGTCCAGCTCTCCTAGAATATGGAATATAGTATCAGATGATCTCTGATTTAGCATAAATCCTGTATTCAGTTACAGTATTTAGATTTTATGTCATTATTTCTTTTTTTTAAATACTTTTTTCCCCCCAAAGCCCTAGTAGATAGTTGTATGTCATAGCTGCACATCCTTCTAGTTGCTGTACGTGGGACGCGGCCTCAGCATGGCCGGAGAGGTGGTGCAACGGTGCGCGCCCGGGATCCGAACCCGGGTCGCCAGCAGCGAGCGCGCGGACTTAACCACTAAGCCACGGGGCCGGCCCTACATGTCATTATTTCTTGGTGTTCTGCAAGAAACACCAGAACATGCGAGCTCCATTAGCCAGCCCACTGGAGAACTGCAGGCCTACTGGAGAAAGCCCAGGTTGCCTGGATCAGAGGTTAAGTTGGTAGACAGTCCTGCTGCAGTTAATCACTTCAGCTTCACCCCACCTAAATCTAGTAACACGCTTAGCCGTTGACTCACTTTCCCCAAATACATCAGGCACTGTCTTTTTCAAACTGCCTATCTTGTTTTTCATCCTATTCTCCCAGCCTTAAAATCCCAGCACCTCCCCCCCACAAAAAAAATCCTAGCCCTTTTGCCCCCGTTTCTGAGAATAGTAAGAAAAGTGCCTATGACATGTTGGCTGTGTCCTTTCCCCTCTCTGAGTGTTGCATTGGCCATCCCTTCTTCTAACCCTCTCCCCTCCTTCTCCTCCTCCTTTTCCTCACTTCTACTGGCAGAAAGTGGGGGCTGGGTGGTCAAAATTAGAAGGGGTCTGGTCTGTCCAGCGAGTAAAGCATTATCTGAGCTAGGGGAATAGGTATGAGGAAGCTTACCAGGCTAGGAATCTGGAAATCAGATCCTAAGTTAGACCTTGCCTTGAACATGCTGGGTGACTTTTAGTAAGTCCCTTAACTTTTCTGAACCTCAGTGTTTATATCTGTAAAATGGAAGGAATAATTTCTAACCTGTCACCTCATAAGGTTATTAGGAGAATCCAATAAAACTATGGGTATGAAAGTGCTGTGAAGACTGTAAAGTGTCACTTAACAGTCCAAACCCTTCATCTAATGTGAGAATTCTTTCTCCAAATCCCTGCCAAATCTTGGCATGTAAACTTTTTACTCAGAGTTATATTATTACTAATGAATTTATTAAAGTATTTAAGGAATTAACTCCATTACGCCAATTCAGTTCCTTGATAAATTTTCTATATAACACAGTTAAACAATTTCTAACTTTTCTAGATTTTTTTTATATTGAATTTTCCTCAAGACATATTCTTTTGTCTATCAATTTTCCAAGAAAGATTTAATTTATCAGTTACCTTTTATCTTTATCAATGTTTACTGATTATTGCTTCAGCTGTTATGAAATTTCTAGTCATTATTTCCATCAAGTCTACCTTTTCCTGGGAGCATTTTGAGCCATTGTCAGTTTTATTTTGTGTTGATTACTTCTACCAAGTGGAATTTTCCGGGGGGTCAACTTTGCAATGTTCAATGTTTACCAGCAAAGATGGGATCATTCAGTTTGCTTTTCCATCCATAATATATTTTTACCATGTGTAGTTTTAGCCATTGTCAGTTTTATTTTGTGTTGATTATTTCTACCACAACCAATTTTTTTTCTGCAACCCAACCAAAACAAGCTCAGGGTGGAAATGACAGTGTCAAAACACTATCCTTTGCCTGTTACTATCTGATTAACTTGGACTGTGAAATGCTTTTGTCCTAGCTATGTTAATGAGCTGGCCTTGAGCTCTGTCTCACAGAGTTTCTCTTTAGGAGCCTTGGGACACATGTGTGGGCTGGAGTATTACTTTAAGAATTGCTTTAGAATTGCAGGAAAATGGACATTAGAGACCATGTTAGGAGAACCAATCTTTAATGAGCCAGGTGCTGTGCTGGTGTCTAAGATCCATTATCTCATTTAATCCTTCAGCCTACACTGCCTTCACATGCGCATTTTATCACAGAGGAAGTTGAGACCCAGAGAGAGGAAGAGTTGGCCAAGTTAGGGTCAGAAACCAGACCCTGGTTTAATTCTCAGTTAGTGCAATTTGAATGATTGTATGTTCCAAAGTTATCTAATTTAATTTTTAAACTTTTGCAATCATCTTGTTGGAAAATTAAAGTATAATTTTTTTTTTATAATTTTATTTATTTATTTATTTCCCCCCAAAGCCCCAGTAGGTAGTTGTATGTCATAGCTGCACATCCTTCTAGTTGCTGTATGTGGGACACGGCCTCAGCATGGCCGGAGAGGCGGTGCGTCGGTGTGCACCTGGGATCCGAACCCGGGTCGCCAGTAGCGGAGCACACGCACTTAACCGCTAAGCCACGGGGCCGACCCTAAAGTATAATTTTTTAATTTAGCTAAGATATAAAACAAGAGAAATACTCATGAATATAAACAAAGCATTCTCAAAGAGATTTTTGTGACAGCAAATGAGGCAAGGAGTGTGAAAATGTTTTGTAAATGACCCAAACCTGGGAAGATGGAAGTTACTGCCATTTGTGACAAAGTGTGTTATATAAACCTGTGTGCCAGCTTGACAGAGTGCTAGAAAACTAACAAAACACACTAACGTCTAATAGATGGGTATCAAATGCCCATCCTAATATTTAATTCTAATAGCCAATATTAAAGGAATAAGATTGCATCCTGTGTACCCTTTAAGACCTAATTCGGACATCAGGAAACCTCTCCTGACCCCCGGTTAGGTTAGGAGCCCACTCGCTCCCATAGCCTGCTCACACTCTGTGTTCACTATCTGTTTACTGCCCTCAAGGACAAGGACCAAGGTGGTCTGGCTCATCTCCGTGGCCCTGAGCTGGTTCACCTGGAGCTTCTCACAGGGTAAGGTTTCCGTAATCAACCAATCAACCAATTAACATGACAAGTATATAGACTATATAGACAACCATTTAAAGTGACAAGGGAAATATCTCAATAAAGCTGGGAAAAAAAAATT